TACACAGAAATGGCAGTGAGCAATATAAGACAACTGAAATGGCAGTATCGTTGAGATCCTACTCATATGCTGTGAACAAAGCTTGGATGGCCAGCAGCCCTGATTTGTGATATTTGACCATCTAAAATAATGTTTTATTTCAGGCAACGTTCACAACCACAGCAAAAGTTACGTTCTTCGTTAAAGCAGCACTGTCTTAACGAGGTTTAGAAAGTTTAACAACGTACTTCAACGCATGCATGTTTGGCGGACGATTCCCATACTATACTGAGGCTTACCCTGAAAGCGGTAGGGAGAATGTGACTATAGCACAAAGCTTTTAAGCGAAGTCGCGTCGGTGCCTCGTCCTTAGCCCGATTTCTTCTCCGCCAGTCACGCAGCATGCCGAAATTAGCCCAGAACGTCCAGTGATGGTTCCACTCCCACCATCGCAATTTTACCTGGGTCGAGCCGGACCAGTAACTGAAAAGACACCACTCAAAAACGATTCGCGTAACCGAGCGCTACTCGCCACCCGAAAGGATTATCAGTCAGCTGATGGGACGATGTACCTGCGCTTGAATCGACTCTGGTTGCGGCCGTATCGTTCTTCGACCGCTGCTGCACGACCGTCGTCGCTTCAGCTTCTACGGCGGCTTCTACAGGCGCTGGTTTCTGCGGGACTGAGGCATGGCTGCCTGTGGTGGCTGAAACAGTCCAGCGACAATTGGCCCAACTAGCCGGCGCAACAACGCCGATATGTCTCGAAAAGAGCAACCGTATTTTATTCATTATTCGCCTTGAACTGCCGTTCCTGCAGCACACACTGTGGCAAAAGATGACGCTAGCGACAGTATCAAATCTTGAAAAATAGCGAAGACAGTCGCGCGTACGCATAACAACAACAAAGTGCCGTAATAAAGATGCTAATGAGTAAAATTTACTTATCGAATATAAATCACACCAGCATGGTCGAGTACACAGTACATAAATGATCGAGTAGTCAGCTAAGTGCTGTAAAAGACACTGCGGTTTTGTTGCGACGTCGACTCGAAAGTAGCTGGCCCTGACCCGTAGATGAAACCGCAATGAAGCGAAACGATGCGTCATTTCGAACGGTGGCGACTTGACTCGAAAGCTGATCAATATGACGGAATGAACGTTCTATTGTCAGTGTTCACCTTCGATTTGTTTAGAAACACGTAGATCGTGCCCAGCATGTCGGCCGACACCAGCACCTCATCCACCTTTGAATCAGCAGATGTATTCGACAGATAAAGCGACCGTCGCGAGAGGATGAAGCTGTCAGTGCCGTTTGCAGTGTTGCCGCTGACGGCGGTGGAAGCGGCGCCAGTCAGCGACGCGACATCGGCAGCTGAGTGGCGGTTGCGACACCGCTCGATGTAATCGAAGATGATTTCGGGCTTCGGCGCGAAAACGGCAGCCGTTACAACAGCGTTGTGAGCTAAAGCGTGAAAATCAAACGTGAACGCTGCGAAAGAAAGCAAACCTTACCTCTAATGCTCTCCCACTGCCTGTTTCGGTCCTTGCGCACTGAAAGCGATAGTGTGTCCGTATTCAGGTGCGTTTTCCACAGGTAAATGTGTTTGTCCTCTGAACCTGTGATAATGAACCTGCCGCTGTGACTGAAAATCAACAAACAATACCGTAAATGAGTTGGAAAGATAAATGACGGCAAAAAAGCTTAAAACACTTACCTAAAACTAGCACGAATCTGGCTGTTGTGGTTCGTATAGCCTTTATACTTACAGGATAGCGACAGATCGCGCAGGTCATACACGCGAATCCTCGAATCGTTTGACGTAACTAGAAGCTAAACGAAGAAGGCTGTGACGCGCATCATAAACGCAGCACTCACGCTACGGCCAAACACAACGTCCGCGGCAGCAAATTTACAACGTAACGCAAAATTCAGTAAAAATATAGTCCATTAATCCACTTTTCCTGGTTCATGTGGCCAAGGAGAATTACACTACGCTGTACCGTACTTCGCGCTAACATGGCCAACCTCCGTGGTTGTCCGTTCTCCGTGAAGCATAGGAGATAACTTTGAAAAGTATGAGGAAGTATAAAGTAAACGAAAGGAGCGCAACAACTACATCCTTAAGAAATTCGCGAAAGAGCAAACCAAAGAAATGAGGTTCAGGTAACGTCAAAAAGTGGCTTTGATAATTTTTCTTTACAAATGTAGGTTCGTAAGCCGAACTCTGCGAATATAGCACCTAGCACAGGCAGTCAACAGATTTCAAGGCGTACTGTACCGCCCGTATTGAAAGAGCTATGCTTTGCATCAACTCACGACCGCCGGCATATTGTCTACCGTTCTGCAGAAGCATGACAGGAGTACCGCATAGCAAAGTGATGCAAAATGCACCTAAATTGTAGATGCTCAAATATTATGGAACCATGACCTGTTTAAATGGCCCCCAGAGCGAACCGCCAGGAGTGGAGCAATGGCTGGAAGAGTTTATTAGTATTATATATCGACGTACCAACAAATATCATTGGCTGTCTGTACTAAGTGGCCAGGCATTATTGCTCCACACTGTTTCGCTAAATACATATGGGGCCACGGCCCAGCAACCTTGGTTTTGGTGCGTCTCTGGTCGGTTTAACTGACTAGAGCCATTTCTTGCTCCGAACATCATCTGAATGACATATATCCATTTGTGACGTGTTCGGTATGGTTCTAAAATTGAAGAGGGAATCAGTGCTGGATATTTCTGGCATACAGACACGAAGACGTCAACTGCTCCGGGGATGAAAAGGTATTTGCCTTCACAGTATTTCTAAAACCAACACATCCCAACTTGAATCTACCTTTTCTTCCCTGTTAAAATTCTATGCTAATGTATAATAACAGAACTATATGCATGTATGATATCTCACTTGCAAGAAATCGCTCAATATGAACCGTTGCTGAAAATGTAAAAGAGATCATATGCCTACTTAGTGACTGAATACATTTGGCATCGGCAGTGCACAAACATTTTGAGCCGTGGTTTGTTTAAATGGTCATACAGGAAACTAGGTGTAAGCGAGCGTGTAGAACGTTCTAATGTTCAATGCATCTTGCACAGGAGGTGCACAAATACCCTGAAACTATGGTCTGCTTAAATAGACTCTAGGAAACCAGGAAACCACAAGCAAGGGGGCAAAAAGTACGTAAATCCAGTCACTGGAGGAGTTAAGTGCTGTTTCAACACAGCCGAAGGATAAGCTTATATTTTAACTGTTCGCAAGAAGTCGCTGGATATGCAAAAAATGAGAGAGATAGAACACGTGTCGCACGGACATAATACCTTATCCTGATAGGACTGAAGACCCGTTATTTTCCGATTGCGCGAAGTTTTCATACGATTTGAATTGATGTCTATCTGCGTATGATACTTCAGCTGCTGAAACACGAATCATTCAGTATCAGATAGCGAAATTCACTGACAACGTGTCCACATTACGTCTGTCGAGTAGAAGTTGCAGCGACCGTCGTAGGTGCCAACGACGACGAATTTACCGTTGCGCGCGAACGTAAGAGCCGTTATCAGTCTGCCGCCATCCACCTCGTTCCACAGGGCAACCTTTTTCTCGGGAATGTGCCACAGTCGCAATTTTCCGTCGAGTGACCCACTAAGAAAGTAACGGTCATCCTAAAATGCATAATCAGACAACG